GGATCATCTGAGGTCAGGAGTTCAAGACCAGCCTGGCCAACATGGTGAAACCCTTTGTCTACTAAAAATACAAAATTAGCCAGGTGTGGTGGCACATGCCTATAATCCCAGCTACTCGGGAGACTGAGGCAGGAGAATTGCTTGAACCCAGGAGGTGGAGGTTACAGTGAGCCAAGATCACACCACTGCACTCCAACCTGGGCCACAGAGCAAGACTCTGTCTTAAAACCAAAAACCAAAAAAAAAAAAAAAAAAAAAAAAAAAAAGGGCCGGGCATGGTGGCTCACACCTGTAATCCAAGCACTTTGGAGGCCAGGGCAGGCGGATCACCTGAGGTCGGGAGTTCAAGACCAGCCTTACCAACATGGTGAAATTCGGTTTTTAAAATAATAAATAAAAAATAAAAAAATAAAAAATGAATGAAACGGCTGGCCAAGGAGGGGATGCTGTGGACCTGCTAGGGTCCTTGTCTGGTCAAGAGCACGGGCAGCCTGGAGCTTTTTTCCTATGGGCAAAAGGGACAAAAACAGCCCATTCCGAGGTGGGATCTGAGCCAGGCTCACACTATGAAACTGGATGGTGAGGCAGGGCTTTCTGATTCATCAGAGGAAAGAAAAAGTCTGTTCCAGTTACTATGGTTACATAACACATCTACCCAAAATGCCATGCTACAAAACAGCCACTTATCACATTCATGGGTTCTGTGGCTCAGGAATTTGGACAGAGCACAGTGGACATGGAGATTTGAGAGGCCGGTGTGAAGAGGGAGACCCAGGCATCTCAGACCAACGTCCCCTTTTCATTCCTAAGACCGTAAACTGAAACCCTTTTCATATGTTAAGCTATAAACCTATGATTCTTCCACGTGTAACATCTAAAGTATAAGCCTATATAAAGATGGAAACTTCCTTTGTTAGGGGAGCTTGGCTGTTAGGTAACTATGCCACCTTGCTCCCGGCCGAATAAACTCCTTCCTCCTGTATTCAGTGTCCAAGAGATCCGTTTCCCGCAGCCGCTCCTGCTACAGGTGCTTGCTTCAAAGTGGGGACCAACCCTGAATTGAAATTAGTCATCGGGGCTGTGGTGAGGTCAGGCTGACCTTGTCCTCTGCTGGGACCCCGTCTTTGCGTAGCTCCCCAGCACCCAGCCTGGGAGTCGCCCAGTAAGTAGCATGCCCCGGCTCGGGCTCTGCTTCTAGGCACCGGACCTGAGCTTCGGTCCCCAGCCTCGCAGCCCTGGGTGCCAACTGAGTATCTTCAGCTTTGACCCCTCCTCACACTCCTAATACCACTCACATGCCCACTGGGATGTTTAGTAGGTGGGCCAGTGCAGCACCTCCAGAATCAAATGCCTGGTCTGCCCCTGGGTAGTGGACTGAGTGGTTCCCTCCCCAGAGGTAAGTCCATATCCTAATCCCCGAACCTGCCAGTGTGACCTTATCTGGGAAAAGAGTCTTCACAGATGTCATTAAGGAAGGTTCTTGAGAGGAGATCATCTTGGATTACCTGGATGGGCCCTAAATGCAGTGACAGCACCCTTCTAAGACTCACACAACAAAAGCAGGAGGCTGCCTGCAAACAGAGGCAGAGGCTGGAGTGGTGCAGCCACAAGCCAAGGAATGCAGAACCCCCAGAAGCTGGAAGTGGTAGGAAGGAGCCAGCCCTACGTCCTTTATCTTGAAGAGAGAGAACACGTTGCTGGTTTCTGGGTTTTTGTTTTTGCTGCTGTTTTTTGAGTTGAAGTCTCACTCTGCTGCCCAGGCTGGAGTGCAGTGGCGCAGTCTCGGCTCACTGCAACCTCTGTCTCCTGGGTTCAAGCGATTCTCCTGCCTCAGCCTCCTGAGTAGCTGGAATGACAGGTACCCACCACCATGCCTGACTAATGTTTTAAATATTTTTAGTAGAGATGGGGTTTTACCCTGGTGGTCAGGCAGGTCTGGAACTCCTGACCTCAAGTGATCCGCCTGCCTCAGCCTCCCAAAGTGCTAGGATTACAGGTGTGAACCACTGCACCTGGCCATTGTTTTTCAGTCAGGGTCTCAGTGTGTGGTCTAGGCTGGAGGGCAGTGGTGTGATTATAGCTCACTGCGGCTTCAGCCTCCTGGGTTCAAGTGATCCTCCTGCCTCAGCCTTCCAAAGGGCTGGGATTACAGGCATCTGGCCGCCTTACCTCTTTTCTCCTGTTTTCTATCTCCATTTCTTTCTTTCTTTTTTTTTTTTTTTTTTTTTGAGACGGAGTTTCACTCATGTTACCCAGGCTGGAGTGCAATGGCGCAATCTCGGCTCACCGCAACCTCCGCCTCCTGGGTTCAGGCAATTCTCCTGCCTCAGCCTCCTGAGTAGCTGGGACTACAGGCACGCACCACCATGCCCAGCTGATTTTTTGTATTTTTAGTAGAGACGGGGTTTCACCATGTTGACCAGGATGGTCTCGATCTCTTGACCTCGTGATCCACCCGCCTCGGCCTCCCAAAGTGCTGGGATTACAGGCGTGAGCCACCGCGCCCGGCCCTTTCTTTTTTAAACAATGAGCGATGTTCCTCAGCCTTATTTTCCAACCATTTTGTTTAGGTTTTAAAAATTCAAGGCCAGGCGTGGTGGCTCACACCTTTAACCCCAGCACTTTGGGAGGCCAAGGCAGGGTGGATTACTGGAGGTCAGGAATTCAAGACCAGCCTGGCCAACATGGTGAAACCCCGTCTCTACTAAAAATACAAAAAATTAGCTGGGCGTGGCAGCATGCACCTGTAATCCCTGCTACTTGGGAAGCTGAGGCAGGAGAATCGCTGGAATCCAGGAGGTGGAGGTTGCAGTGAGCCAAGATTGTGCCATTGAACTCCAGCCTGGGGGATAAGAGTGAAACTCCATCTCAAAAAAATAAATAAATAAATAAAAAGATAAAACTTCGGCCGGGCGCGGTGGCTCACGCCTGTAATCCAAGCACTTTGGAGGACAAGGCGAGCGGATCACCTGAGGTCGGGAGTTCAAGACCAGTCTGACCAACACGGTGAAACCCTGTCTTTAAAAAAATAAATAAATAAAATAAAATTTAAAAAAAGGTAAAACTTCATACGTTTTCCTTTCAGTATCCAAGAGCTCTTCCCTCGTGTCCGTTTTTGCAGCGCTCCCCCTGCGTGGCTGCGTCTACTCTTTTCTCTCTGCACATGTGATTTTGTATTGTTTGATGCTTTCTTCTTCGGCAGCATTTTGATTCCAGACGGCTTCCATCTACCTTTTGCATGGTGGCGTTCTGCAGATTCTGGTAGCTGTCCCCTCCTATCAGCCAGGGACTGAACCTACAAGACCGTGCAGAGAGCTCGCTGACCGTGGGGTTCGCTGAGGCCGCCCGGCTGCTGAGCCAGGGAGCCAAGGTCTTTCCCCGGATGTGCCAGGTTACAGTCACAGTCTGTTCATACAGACGTCAGTATGGGGTCCCCCCCATGCTTCAGGAGCCTCAGGCAGACTCATTCTGTTTTACCCACTGCAGAGTCTAGTTGTGGATTTGGTCTTTTCTCAGAGCAGAGAAGGAAGCTTCTCTGAGTAGCAGATGGGATTGGAAGATCTGATTGCTGCTGGTTTTATAAGAATTGTAAACTGTATATCACATGGAATTTAGCATTTTAACCATTGTGAAGCCAAGTGTGTGACTCCCTGGAGCCCCTTACACTCGCAGTGTCACGCGGCCATCGCCACCATCTGTCTCCAGAACTTTGTCATCTTCCTGCCTGGAAACTCTGTCCCCACCAAATACCAACTCCCAGGCCGGCCCCCAGCCCCTGGGAATCTCTGTTCATTTACTGTCTCCATAACTGATTGCTTCTTTTTTTTTTTTGAGACAGAGTTTTTGCTCTTTGCCCAGGCTGGAGTGCAATGGCACAATCTCAGCTCACTGCAACCTCCGCCTCCCGGGTTCAAATGACTCTCCTGCCTCAGCCTCCCTAGTAGCTGGGATTACAGGCACGTGCCACCGTGCCCGGCTAATTTTTTGTATTTTTGCTAGAGATGGGGTTTCACCATGTTGGTGAGGCTGGCCTCAAACTCCTGACCTTGTGATCCGCCCACCTCAGCCACCCAAAGTGCTGGGATTATAGGTGTGAGCCACTGGGCCCAACCTGATTGCTTATTTTAAAGACTTTCATCCACCCTCCTTATTTCAGCTCCTTTCCACCCAACTTCCTGGGTTCCCAAGGCCCCAGTTCCTGAGCCTTTAGGTGATTCTGTGGCATCAGTTTATTTAGTGGCCTTACGTAGATGGGTGTGTTCAATCCACCAACTTTACATGGAAGTTTCTCTATAACAGAGGTCCCAGGGGTACCGGTCCGTGACCTGTTAGGAACTGGGCTGCACAGCAGGAGGCGAGCGGTGGGTGAGCGGGAGAAGCGTCATCTGTATTACAGCCACTCCTCATCGCTTGCATTCACGTGAGCTCCGCCTCCTGTCAGATCAGTGGCGGCACCAGAGTCTCGTGGGAGCGTGGACCCGATTGCGATGATCTGTCACTGTCTCCCATCACCCTCAGATGAGACCTTCTAGTTGCAGGAAAACAAGCTCAGGGATCCCACTGATTCTACATGATGGTGAATCATATAATTATTTTATTATATATTATATTGTAACAATAATGGAAATAAAGGGCATGATACAGGTAATGCGCTTGAATCATCCTGAAATCATTCTTCCCTGCCGCCCCACCGCCCGGTCCATGGGAAAATTGTCTTCCATGAAACCAGCGCCTGGTGCCAAAACAGGCTGGGGCCTGCAGCTCTGTCATCTTTAAGTTACCTTGCAGATACTTTGTTTTTTGAGACAGGGTCTGGCTTTCTGCCCAGGCAGGATTGCAGTGGCGCAATCACGGCTGATTGTAGCCGCGACCTCCCAGGCTCGAGTGACCCTCCCACCACAGCTTCCTGAGTAGTTGGGACTAGAGACACATGCCACCATGCCCAGCTAATTTCTTTTTTTAGGAGAGATTGGATCTTGCTGTGTTGCCCAGGCTGGTCTGCCGGGCTACGTGGTTCTCTCACCTCAGCCTCCCAAAGTGTTAGGGTTGCAGGTGTGAGTCACCATGCCTGGCCCTTCACAGGTTTTTTTTTTGTTTTTTTTTTTTTTTTAAGCTGTGTTGAGACGGAGTTTCGCTCTTGTTACCCAGGCTGGAGTGCAATGGCGCGATCTCGGCTCACCACAACCTCCGCCTCCTGGGTTCAGGCAATTCTCCTGCCTCAGCATCCCGAGTAGCTGGGATTACAGGCACATGCCACCATGCCCAGCTAATGTTTTGTATTTTTAGTAGAGACGGGGTTTCACCATGTTGACCAGGATGGTCTCGATCTCTTGACCTCGTGATCCACCCGCCTCGGCCTCCCAAAGTGCTGGGATTACAGGCATGAGCCACCGTGCCCGGCCCTCACAGGTATTTTGTAAGCAACCAGTAGAATCATTTTACAATCACACTATATTATGTAATCATTTAATGTTAGTGCTTAATGACAAAAGTTTGGACATGAAGCTACATGACCAGCAAGCTCAAACTTACGCCAAACACATATGCATAGAAAAGATGGAGCCGGGTGTGGTGGTGCACACCTGAAGTCCCAGCTACTCAGGAAGCCAACGCGGGAGGATTGCTTGAGCCTAGGAGTCTCAGACCAGCCTGCGTGACATAATGAGACCTCGGCTCTGAAATTTAAAAAAAGAGAAAAGACACAAAGCTGTATGGCCATTGTAAACACCTCTCATCTTTGCGATCTGGTGTGATTCTTGGTCTCTTGTTTATACTTTAAAAAAAAAGTTTTGGTCGGGTGCGGTGGCTCACGCCTGTAATCCCAACACTGGGAGGCTGAGGCAGATGGATCACCTGAGGTCAGGAGTTTGAGACCAGCCTGGCCAACCTGATGAAACCCTGTCTTCTACTAAAAAAAAAAAAAAAAAAAAAAAATTAGGCATTGTGATGGTTGCCTATTATCCCAGCTACTTGGGAGGCTGAGGCCAGGAGAATCACTTGAACCCAGAAGGCAGAGGTTGCAGTGAGCTGAAATTGCACCATTGCACTCCAGCCTGGGTGACAGAGTGAGACTCTGTCTCAAAAAAAAAAAAAGGCCAGATGCAGTGGCTCACACTTGTAATCCCAGCGCTTTGAGAGGCTGAGGTGTGCAGATCACAAGGTCAGGAGTTCGAGAACAGCCTAGCCAACATAATGAAACCCCGTCTCTACTAAAAATACAAAAATCAGCTAGGCATGGTGGCACGTGCCTGTAATCCCAGCTACTCGGGAGGCTGAGGCAGGAGAATCACTTGAACTCGGGAGGCGGAGGCTGCAGTGAGCCGAGATTATGCCATTGCACTCCAGCCTGGGTGACAGAGTGAGACTCCGAGTCAAAAAAAAAAAAGTTTCTCCAATGATGAATGCTGGCTCTATAATCAGAACAGGACAGTTCCTGCCGGGTTTCTAGTTAGGCAGCTGATGGGATGGCGGCTGCTCCTGTTTCTCAGGAGTGCCAAGGAAAGGCCAGACCCCCAGTGTGTCTGTGGCCCTCCACGTTCTTTCTCCGTCCCAGGCCTGTGTGGTTTCGGTGGCTGTGGGCTGGCGTGAGCCAGAGGTGGTCAGTGAGAAGAGGGAATTTGGCCCAGTTTGTGTCTTAGAAAAATCACTCTGGTGGCTGCCTTGAGGAGGTGTCTGAGGTGGAAAAACCTGCCAGCAGCGATAGTCTGAGAGGTGACAGGGCCAGGTGGGGTGCCAAGGGTCGCATCTGCGGAGGATGCATGGGCTCAGTCCTCAGAACGTGCAGAGTGGCCCTCTGCAGGGGTGAGGGCCAGGAAGATCCCCACGCTTCTGCCTTGGGGGACGAATGATTTAATGGCTCAGGAAGCGCTGTCCAAATGTTCTTAATAATTGTATTTCTTTCTTGTTTAACGCACATGTGCTACCCAGAAGTCCCGCACTCCTGGAAATGCATGCGTATGCAGAATTCCGGCTTTTCTAGTGATGTCAGGCTGATTGGCATCTGCCAGAGGGTTCTGCTGCGCTCCCTGGGGCCCCTCGCAGTGAGCAGAAGCAGGGAAGGCCGCTGCCCTGGGGCGGGTTGGGGGAGCGCTTTGTCCTTACTGTAGCAGTGGTGGACACAGCCCTGGGCCTGGCCCTTTTCAAGTCAGCCGGACGGGGCCGAGCTCCTCCTCTCACGGCCCACCTGTCTCATAGCAGGTGTCGGTACCTGTTTGTCTCCTGGGGAACTGTGTGATTCTCTGACAGAGGTCGTCACATCCTGGTGCATTCTGTGCCTTGGTTGCTGGGGAGACATCTGACATCAGCCCAGCCAGGAGAACCCAGCTATGGTTCCAGGTGGGCCGTGCGGCTCCAGGGGATGGGTTCCGGGGTCTCAACCAGTCACAGCAAGCCTGTTCCCTTGACGTGTGCTTCTTCTAGGTGGACCTGGGAACCGGGGAGGCCTGGGAACCTGGTTCTGTTTAATGAACAGAGGAGAGGAGGACAGCTGGGGACCTCTGGAAAGATTTGATTCACTTTTTCTTTCTTTTTCAAGGCAGGGTCTCGCTCTGTTGCCCAGGCTGGACCAGAGTGGTGCCATCACGGCTGAAGCGATCCTCCCACCTCACCCTCGCCAGTAGCTGAGACTACAGGCATGCGCCACCAACACCTGGCTAATTTTGTATTTTTTGTAGAAATGGGGTCTCCCCATGCTGCCTGGGCTGGTCTCAGACTCCTGGGCTGAAACCTGGTCTCAGACCTGCCTTGGCCTCTCAAAGTGCTGGAATTGCAAGTGTGAGCCATTGTGCTGGCTCACTGCAGCCTCCAACTCCCAGGTTCTAGTGATTCTCCTGCCTCAGCCTCCTGAGTAGCTGGGATTACAGGTGCCCGCCACCATGCCCAGCTAATTTTTGTATTTTCAGTAGAGATGGGGTCTCACCATGTTGCCCAGGACGGTCTCGATCCTCCCGCCTCGGCCTCCCAAAGTGCTAGGATTACAGGTGTGAGCCACCACACCCGGCCTCTTGTTTATTTTGAGGTTTCACTTTGTCACCCAGGCTGCAGTACATGGCACAATCACAGCTCACTGCATGCAGCCTCCGCCTCCCTTGTTGAAGCGATCCTCTTGCCTCAGCCTCCTGAGCAGCTGGGACTGCAGGCATTGCACCACCATGCCCTGTTAATTTTTGTATTTTTTTGTAGAGACGGGGTTTCGCCGCATTGCCCAGGCTGGTCTCAAACTCCAGCAACCCACCCGCCTCCGCCTCCCAAAGCGCTAGGATTATAGGCACGAGCCACCATGCCCAGCCTGATTTACTTTATCTCAGTGGATTTGCCAGTTCAGGGCATTTCCCATCACGGAGTTGTACAACACATGGCCTTCTGTGACCGGCTTCCTTCACTGGGCAGAATGTCTTTCTGCGTCACGGCTGCTGTAGCGTGTCGGCTCGTCACTGCTCTTTAAGACTGAGTCATGTTCCGCTGTGTGCGTCTAGCACGTTTTGTGGATCCATTCATTGGGATGGGCATTTCGGTTTTTCCATTTTCTGGCTATTGTGATATTGCTGCTGTGAACATTTGTTTTCACGTTTTAACATAGACGTCTTTTTCCTTCTACTGGTTATTTACTTTTTTTTTTGAGATGGACTCTCACTCTGTCACCCAGGCTGGAGTGTGGTCACGTGATCTCTGCTCACTGCCATCTCCACCTCCCTTGTTCAAGCGATTCTCCTGCCTCAGCCTCCTGAGCAGCTGGGATTACAGGCATGCATCACCACACCCAGCTATTTTTTTTTGGTATTTTTAGTAGAGACAGGGTTTCACCACGTTGGCCAGGATGGTCTCAAACTTCTGACCTCGTGATCCACCTGCCTCGGCCTCCCAAAGTGTTGGGATTACAGGTGTGAGCCACCGCGCCCGCCCTCTCCTGGTCATTTACTTAGGAGTGTAACTGCGGGGTCTCATGGTAGTCTGTCCTCTGGATGTCTTGAAAAACCAGCAGTGGTTTAGGCCTTTGCAGCCAGCTTCTGAACCAGACTCTTGATAACTGACTCCTTTGGCCCTTACTCTCCCGCTGGGAGGGAGGTGTGGTGGTAGTCTCTGTTTAGGCAGTGGAAAGGCTCGCCGGCCCTCACTGCCCATTGGGCTCTGTCACCGCCTCCCTCTGCCTGGGGAGGTGACCAGGCTAGGCCCAGCCCTGCAGGAGGTTGAGGTGGCGCTCACAGAGAACTTGCTAGGCGCTAAGACAAAGGAAACAGTCATGAGTGGAGATGCCTAGGAGGGACCTTGGGTGAGGAAAACACGCCAGTCCCACCCAAGACACCCAGGAGGGTTCCCCACAGGAGAGGTGCCACCCCAGTCCTGGCCACACCCACGTTCCCACGCAGAGTGCCTGTGGGGTGCTTTGCAGGCATGTGTGTTCTTACCGCCTGTCTGCCGCGATCCTAGGGTGCCGGTGCCCCTCGGGTTCCACAGCTGGGGCTTGGCACAGTCAAAGGTCCACAGTAAGGATCAGAGCTGGGGTCATCCCAGTTTAAGGCCAGAAGTTAGGACATTAATTACTGGCCAAGCTGCTTCCTTGGCCTGTGGAATTTCATTTTGTGACAGGAGCCAGGCGTTTTACTGTTCCTTGTTGAAGAAGAATCTGAAGGAGGCAGGAGAGGAATGACAGGTAATATACCGTCCCAGTGCAGCTGTCTTACTGTTCCCAGCTTCCCTCCATCTGCTTGCAAATTTCACATCGTTACCATCACGTCCTTCTTGCCCTCTGTGTTCTGCTGTTTCAATGAATGGGTCATAAATGGTTTCCTTGTGTTTTTTTTCCATATTTGTTGCGGCTGTCATTTTAAACCGGCTGACCGTGTTGGATCCTGGGCCCCCATCACTTAGTAAACCATTTTCTTAGTGTGTGTTTTTTAGATCAGGGGTGGGCAGACAGACAGTGGTCCACTGGCCATGTCTAGCCCACCACCATTATTATATGACCCATAAGATAAGAATGGATTTTACTTTTTTTTTTTTTTTTGGCGATAGAGTCTTGCTCTGTCACCCAGGCTGGAGTGCAGTGGCAAGATCTCAGCTCACTGCAGCCTCCGCCTCCTGGGATCAAGCGATTCTCCTGCCTCAGCCTCCTGAATAGTTGGTATTACAGGTTTGTACCAGCACGCCCGGCTAATTTTTGTATTTTTAGTAGATTCAGGGTTTCACCATGTTGGCCAGGCTGGTCTTGAACTCCTGACCTCAGGTGATCTGCCTGCCTCGTCCTCCCAAAGTGCTGGGATTACAGGCATGAGCCACTGCAACCAGCCAGACTCTCTTTTTATTTAAGAGTGAAACACTAATGCTTACGGACAGCTCTAGGTGCACGTGGGTGGGAGGGTGGAGGGTGAGGCGATTAGTGGTTTCATTGTCAGCTTACAAGGAGATCAGTGATTTCTTTGGGAAAACCTTTCACATCACTGTCAGAGGTCTTGCCTCTGGGGCAGGCCGTTTTCCCTGGTGTGGCAGAATAATGGCTCCCCGGCATTGTCTGCCCATGTCCTTATCCCTAGGATCTGTGAATATGTTACCTTACATGGCAGAGGAGACTTTGCAGGTATGATTGAATTAAGAATCTTGAGACTCAAACCGTTGAGGCCAGATATGGTGGCTGATACCTGTAATCCCAGCGCTGAAGCTGAGGCAGGAGGACTGAGACCA